TGGGATCAAAGTAGACTTTTTTTTAAAAAAAGGGAAATCTTATTGTTATTTGTATGATAAACATTACTGAACAAGACTACTTTGCGATACTTTTATCTGTTAAGAAGACTGAATTTTCTGGCTGTTCTGGAGAAGCAGTTTATTTTCTTATCTCCCTCTGAGTTCAGTTTTACCTCCTGAAGTATTCACATTATGAATGGTCTTTTGAGGTAGCTTTGGCAAAGTAACGTAAGCTTTCTTCAGTTTAGAAGTAACTACATGAAACAGGTACATGCTTTTCTATATTTATACCTGCCTACACTCAGAGAAGCAGCAACAAATGAAGTAGTGACAGTAGTCAGAAAATTCTGTTTATAATGTATCTATATGTAGTTAGAAATTTTTTTTAAGATTTATTTATTTATGCAAGAACTGGGGTACAGGCCAGAGGTTCAGGAGGGTGAGAGAATTCACCAGAGACAGAGCGGGGAGCAGAACAGGCAGAGGGACCAAAAACACTGCTGAGGGGAGCAGCAAGCGCAACAGGAGAGGTCTGCTGCACCATGTGAGTATCTCCCTGGCCTGCTGGGAATCAAACCTGTGCTGCAGAGGCTGCGGACAGCTCCAGAGTGCTGCGCCCAACCCACTGAGCCACTGGGGAGGCCCTAGTTAGAAATTTTAAATGTTGCCATTTTCATCCATTTTCATCCTTCCGTCTATTTGGTGTAGTCCTTTTTACTGTCTGTTAGTCAGTCTTTCTCTCTTTTCTCTGATCTTTCACTGATCTCCAGGGAACTTTTGTCCTAAGTAGTTTTTTTTTTTACTTTGAAAGTGTATAATTGGACCTCAGCTGCTCCTATGGAAGAAATGTAGCAACTCGGCATTTTATAAAATCAAAAGAGATAATTTTTCAACTAATTCAAGTTATCAAAACTTGCTCAGCAAATGTCAACTTATATTAGACACATCACCTTACATTAGACAAACATTTCTTTACCAGTGCTTTTTAAGTATGATGCATTTATGAGGTAAAGGACAAAAGAAATAAATGGCAGGAGAGGTCGGGGAGTTGGGAGTTGGGAATGACTCCTTTCCTGAGATCTGCTTATTCTTTTTCACTACAGCAGAGTATCTGATCTTTATCAGGGCAGGGACTTTGAGCTGTATGGTTTCTGTGTAGTTAACTTTTTAGGGATGGGACTCATGTTCACTCTGCGGGTTACTCCTTGGTGATTTCTTGAGTAATCTCAGGATCTGCAGGGCACATGAGGTACAATGTTTGTTGAACTGAGAGACTGTTATGCAGAGTTCCTTAAGTTTGACACTTTTGATTTTTCAGGTCAGTTTTTTTTTTTTTTTTTTTTTTTTTGCTATATAATTCTGTGTGTGTGGCCTCCACCCACTAGATACCAGTGATACTTTTTCACTTGTGGCAACCAAAATGTCTCCAGACATCATCAATTGCCAATGTAGAAAAATGTCTTAACAGTTTTGTAATGATCAAGACCATGGAAATTCTCTTACGCTTACTATCTGAAATCTTAGAACAAAGTATAATTAAAACAAATAGAAGTCAGGTGAAGAAATTAATTTATAAGGGAGATGAGTTCTATTTTGTGCAGGTAAAATTTGAAGTAATAGTAGAATATCCCAGTGTTATGTCCAGCAACTACTTGAAGAAAGGTTGGGATATAGGGCTGGGAGTCAATGATATAGTTGAGAATTGAAATTATGAAGTGTCCCAGAGAAAAATGAAAAAGCTGAGGACCAAAGATTAAACTTTAACATGAAACTATGGATATGTACCTAGCAAAAAGTAAAAAGGATAATTGAAATAGTGAAAGCTAATGATTGAATAATACCTAGGTGAATGACAACCTTATCACATGGGCATTAATAAAGTCCCAAAAATAGGAAAAAAGAAGAAAGAGGAAATAGAGGGAATGAAAAAATTCTACCAACTGTATATTCTAAAAGATTATTTCAGGAATCTGGTGGAGAAATGGGTGAGCTTGTGGTTTGGAGAGAATAAAAGGAGAGACACCTGATAACTTGTCAAACTTGAAATGAGCCTGTATCCTAATAGGACCTCCTTGACTCTGGACTGTTGAGAATAGCCATTGAATACCAGTTCCTGATTTGAATTAACTATTTCTTGGAGGGAAGGGGTGCCCAACTCAATAAAGAATGCCAAATAATCCCCATCCTTCTATCGCCCATCCCTTCTTTGTAACATGCACATTAATTTTTTGAAACTGCTCTTGGGTGAGATACATGCTTACCTACTTCAATGAGAAAGAGATGAAAGGATTTTACTGGCATATGTTAAGAGTGGCATAAACAGATCATTGAAATTGTTACCTAATTACTTTCAGAAAAATTAGCTCAGGGTGAGCTCCTCTAAAGCCAAATCATTCTTTGTAGAATTTCTCTAATACCCAGTTGACTTTATGAACAATTTCCGAATGGATCAAATCATTCAGTTTCTTGGTAATACAATGAACTAATTCAACTTAGAAGGATCATAAGAAAATACATGGCCCAACATTAGATGTCAGATGGGTCTTTTACTGAGTTTCTCCTCACCCTCCTTTACAGCCACATGGACAGTAAGTTGAAAGGTTCGGCGCGGTAAAGAAAAGGAGAGCCAAGGTACATTTCTCAAAGGGAGGGAAAGTTTATTGCGCCCCGGGCGGACCTCACAGACCCAAGGCGGGGGTCAGTGGAGTCGCGCACGTTGTTAGGGGGAAGCAGGGTTTTATAGGGTGAGGAGAGGTCAGGTGGGTAGTTGGGCTCCTACGGCGGGAAAAGTTTGTAGGGCAGGTAGAGGTTCTTTGTCTGAGATGAGACTCGTAGGGGGTGGGGGGAGGCTCATTGTCTGAGTCCTCCAGGCAGGTATCCGCATTCCTGCCCCCCAGGTGGGCTTCCTGGTTGACTCCTGCATTCTGGCTTCCTGCATGGACCTTTCATAAGTGACCTTTAATAACAACTGCTTTAACTTTTTTTTTTTTTTTACAGTAAACATTATATCATGTTCCACAGCACAGACAGTTGAAGCCTATGTTTAACAATTTGGCTGCTTTCTGTAGAACATATTTGAATCTTCCTGTTATAGGACAGGGAAAGGGTCAGCCCAAACCCCGCAAACCTGCCTATACTAAATGGGTTCTGCCATCCGCCGCATCAACACAAAACACATGACACTTTAATGGGAAGGAACTTTAATAAAAACTAGGAAACAATACAGGTAAGGCAAAGAGTCTAGTTTCTAAATGAAGCACCCAAAGTTACCCGTCCCCTCGTGGGTAAAACTCCATCCATATGGGATCAGCCCAGAGCAAGGCCCCAAAGCCTGCCATGAGTCTAAAGCACCTTCCAGTGGGGACCCACAGCAAAGGGTCAGAAACAATCAGACAAGCCCAGAAGGAAAAGAGCAAAATCAACATCAAGATAAAAGCTGCCATTGTCACCTCCCCACGGGTCTCACCCACATCTGTGTCACCCCGTCCACCACCAAAAGACAAGTGGTTTCTTCACGTGTCTCTCAGCTCCATGCGCCTCCTCCAGGTCTCCTGGCTCCATCCTGCTTCCTTCCTCAGTCTCTTCTGCAGCTTCTCCTCTTCCTGCTCAGCTCCACCCTCCCTTGGGTGGGGCAGGGAACCTCCCCCTTTCCTGGGACCACCCTGTTACATTCCTACAGTCAAGACAAAAATGTAAACATCATTGTTATATACTTTTTTATTTCTCTAATAAAAGAAATATCCTTTGCTAGTGATTAACTTCCCTCTTAACGTTTACAGTCTAAGAGAATATGTTACTAGAGATACAGATGAAGGAACCCATTAAGTCAGAGACCAAACGACTTCTTCCCCAATGGAAGCTCTTATCATTTAAAAGAGCAACATCCACAGGAGCGTGCGGGCAAGAGAGGGTAAGCATTTTGGAATTTCAGAGAGCTAGAGCGGGTCCCTAACCTAGTTTTGAGAAATTTTTAAGTGCTACAGTGACATAAAATCCGGACGAACCGCAGATTAATAAAGATTGGGGAATGATCCTTTCTTTGCTCAGGCCCTAGCAACCGGCATGCACACGCGACCGCCTTCGCTGATATCGGTGGTGTTCAGGCCCTGCAGCGTTCGAGGAAGCGTCGCTCACCCAGCGGGGGTCGCGCACTGCACCCACAGCCCACCGCACTGCTCCCCAAGTACAGATCTAACAGAACCGAGACCAATCAGCTGACCGCAACAGAGGAATCCGGCGGGCGATGAAATTCTTCCTGGACACTGACAAGTAGCGACAGAGTTTTCGTTCCAACCAATCAGGCTAGAGGAAATTTTGGCGTACACCCGCCCCTTTCCATCCTACCAATCAGCACCTAGACCAATGCGCCCGGCCCACTGACAACCGGAAACCACCTTTTATATTTCATTCGTAACCCCTTCCGCCCACCGTCATTGTAGATCACCCTGCAAACTGCACAAAAGAGGAACCGAGGTGACAGTTCCAATTCAGGCCATTTTTGCGGTGAGAAGCGAAAGAATAGACCCCTCTGTCAAAACTGGGGTTCCAGGAGGGACGGGGAAGGGGAAAGAAGGGTTCGGGAGCGCAAACTACAACTCCCAGGGGGCCTTGCGCGGCCTACGCGCGCCCAGGGCGAGGGGGCGGGCCATTGTAAGGAAGAAGGCTGAGCGTCCCAGGGTTCCTCTCCGACTTCCTGAACGCGAGCCTCGGGCTGGGCGGTGCTTAAGGTGGGCGGGGCGGCGACTACGCCGGGCCTCGCGCTTTGTGTCCTCCTCCCTGCGGCTCCAGGGCCCGGGACGCCGGAGGGGGCGTGGCCCGCGCGGAGGTTGGTGGGGGCGCGAGCGCCGCGGGACGTGGGTGACGCGTCCGCTTCCAGCTCAGCGGTGTGTGAGGTGTCGCGGCCCCGTCGGCGATTGGCTGTTGGAGCGAGTTCGCCGCGGCCGTTGGTCGCCGGCAGCACGGAGCGAGAGCCGGGGCGGGCTGGGGGGATATGGGGCGGCACTGGCGGCGGCGGCGGCTGGAGGAGGCGGGCGCGGACGAGCCAGCGGCCGCGGCAACACAGGCAGTCGCGGGAGTCCTCCCGTGAGGCCCCCCGGTCGGCCCCGCCGTCGGCCCCGCTCGGAGGGCGGCCAGCCCGCGAGCCGCTGAGGAGCCGCTCCCCCGGCGCCGCAGCCCTTCGGACTCTCGGTCCCATTCTCTCGATCCTGCTCCGGTTCCTCCATCTTGGCCTAGGCAGTGGCGGCTGCCGGGAGGATGTGCCGCCTTCTGGCAGGGGGAAGAAGGAGGAGAAGATGAAGAAGTACCAGCGGGCCTTGGCCCTGGTCTCCTGCCTCTCTCTCTGCTCGCTGGTCTGGTGAGTAGCCGCGACAAGTCGGGAGTTCCCCGGGAGGGGGTCGGGGGAAGAAGGAGCAGCCCAGGTCACACCCCCAAGTCCCCTGGCTTTTGGGGTGCCGGTCTCCGAGGTCCCAGTGGAGCGACACGCCGATTCCTCTGATCCTCTTGCGTTGACGGGCTCGGCTGCACTCTGCGGGAGGTTTCCTGTTGTATTATGGAATTTTCAGGGGCTCAGTGAGAGGGAAAAGGTGCCGGGTGAAAGGGACCACCTGAGTGCCTTTGTGCTCAGTCACCCTGCCCCTGGGATACCGCGCTGTGTTGGGGTGGTGTTGAAGCTAGAAGCCAGGTAAGTCGCCCAGGTGTGCTGCCAGTCACTTGCCTGCGTAGTGTGGCGAGGACGAGCAGCTCGTCGGATGCCATAGGTTCTCGACCTGCGATTTAAAAAACGTGAGTCGTCTGAAGGGTGAGAGTAGTGGACAAGCTGCCCTTCTCCTGCCTCCCTCTCGCAGTCTCTCTGGCCTCAGGTACGCTTGGGGCTGCTGCTTTGGAAACTTGGGGGAGGGGCGTTATGAAGTGCTTTTTCAAGGGGTAGGTGATGGGAGCCCTTAGTTTAGTAAACAGGGTGACTTGGGTGTAGTGACCACCATAGTTCGTGGTGGTGTGGCTTGGCTTGTGCTCCTGAGTTATGGGAGGAAAAGTCCCGTATTTGAAGGCCGGAAGAGTGCTTTGCCCCTCGTGGAGTTTCTTTTTCATCCCTGCTACATTTGTTTTTGTTTTTGGCGGGGGTGAGGGGCTCTATGAGCATTTATCAGTCAAAGGGCTGCTATGGTTGTATTTGAAAAAGCCATTCTTTCCACCCTGGGAATTTCTTCTAAGATGTGTGACGTTTACTGCCAGAAAAGATATCTCTTCCGTGGAAGGGACTTGCTGTTTGCGATATTAAAATGTAGATAAGCCAAGTCTCTTGTTTAACTTGTTTCTGCAAAAACAATGTTTTAATTTTTGCGGGTGTCTGAAGGATGCTGAAGACACTGAAGTTTGTCGAGTTATTGCTGACATAAAGTAACACAGAAATAAGGGGAAAAGAAAAAGCTGGTTTAGCTAATTTTGAGTGGAAGGCTGGTGGAAGTTTTAGAGAACAAGAAATTTTGTCTCATTCTGGACCCATTTAATAAGACCATTGTCATCCCCTACCTTCTACTTTCTAGTATCATGTTGGATCAAGAAGTGCATGTAGGAGTGAGTCCATTCACCCCATTTTAAATTTAAATTTATAGATGAGATACTGAAACCTTGTATTCATAATACATCTTTTATTGATGACTGCTTAGTTGTTTGTAGATAATTTATCTTTCTGCAAGGTCTTGCCCATCTTTAGACCATGTTATTCTTCATTAGCACTTCCTGAAATGACTGACAGGGCAGAAAGGTTACAGCATTCATCCACATTTAAAACACACCAGTTTCTCTTATTTTTAAGTCGAAATATTCTTGACAGATAACAATGTAAATTTCAGGTATTGCGACATGCTGATTTGATACATTTACATACTGTAATATGATTGTCATCTTCAAGACCTCTATCAAGTAATGTTATTTCTTTCTTTGTGGTGGGAATAATTAAGATTGCATCTCATCAAGTTGGAAGGTTTCATGCAATGTTGTTGTCTATATTCATTATACTGTATGTTAGGTCACAAGGGCTGACTTATCTACTAGTTGCAAGTTTGTACCCTTAAACATTTTTTTAAATTTAGTTAGGTGGTAAAGATTAGACATCACACTGTGGTTCTAAAAATCATTTGTGGATTTAAATCAACTGTGTGTCTATTTGTGTAATTTCTGACTGTCTTTTGCTAAAGCTAACTTCAGTATGGTTTCTCAACTTTATTCATTAGTGATAGTGAGGAGATTATGACCCTTTAGAGATAAACATCAGCCCAATATTGAAAATGTACTCATAAAGTCCTGTAAGGTTTTTTTTAACTCCCACAGTGAAAGGTGGGTTGATGAGGATTTAAGAGAATGAAAAGTTTAAGAAAGTTTTCCTTAAACAATTGAGTTAGTGTATTTTGAGATTTGTTTGGACTGCCACATTTAGAGACATTTTATTCTTTACTGAAGCTATTAAAAGGCATTAAAATCAGGTTTTTTTTGGGGGGGGAACATGGGTGTTATGAGATTGGAGAAGAGGAGTAGTGTGCTGGTGATTGACAAAAAGGGTATGTTGTGCCTTTTGAGACTCTTGAAATACTGACATTACAGCACTGACACAGCTGGAGGTCTTATACTTGCTACAGTCTGTTCTGTTAGACCATTTCCCAACATCTCCATTGCCACTTAACTGATGCATACCTAAAGCCACTTTAGAGTTAGAAAACAGGTTTGGAGAAGAGTTGATAAGCTCCTCTTAGTAGCTTTGTTTTTGGTCTGCTTTGCCATTCATAATTGTCCCAAAATTGTGTGATCCATTTCTTTTTAAAGTTATACCATTTTTGGGCTTCCCTGGTGGTGCAGGGGGCTAAGTCACAGCACTATGAAGCTATCTGCAGCCACTGCAGCACGAGTTCGATCCCCAGCCAGGGAGCTAACCCACTTTGCACAGCAGACCTCTCCTGTCTTTCCTGCTGCTCCTCTCAGCAGTGTATTTCAGTAGATTCTCCTATTCTGTTCCCCACTCTGTCTCTGGTGAATCCTCTCACCATCCGCACCTCAGTTGTACCCCAGTTCTTGTGTGCATAAATAAATCTTTAAAAAAATAGTTATACCATTTTGTAGATTTATGAAGACTATGTATTTATACAATATTCTAGTTTTTGAGGTTCTTCTTCCTCATCTTATAATATTACTGAATTTTGGTATCACCTTTTGTACTATCTATCTTCATTATGTTCCCCTTTCCTTTTCTATTCAGTGAGAGTCCTAACTTTAGATTACTTTCACAGAAAACCCATCCTACTCATCTTTTTAATATATTTTTTTATTTTATATATTTTTACATCATTTTTCATTTTTGCACAATGTGTGCATTTTCGTCATGATTATAGTCCCCATACAATTCCCACCCACCTTGTTTCATTCTACTCCTTCTTACCCCCCCACCCCCGTTGTGTCTCTGGTTTATAGTTGCTTGTTGATTTTAATTTTTACTTTATTATAATTAGTCTTTTTCCTGGTCCCTTATTTAGGTTTTCTAAATTCCTGCTATGAGTGAGACCATTGGTATTTTTCTTTATCTTTCTGGCTTATTTCGCTAAGCATAATCCCTTCCAGTTCCATCCATGTTGCTGCAAATTGCATGAGTTTATCTTTTTTGATTGCTGAGTAATATTCCATTGTGTGTATGTACCACATCTTCTTGATCCAGTCATCTATTTTTGGGAATTAGGGTTGTTTCTATAGCATAGCTATTGTAAATAGTGCTGCTATAAAAATAGGGGTGCAGGTGCCCTTTTGAATTAATTTTTCTGTGTCCTTTGGGTAAATACCCAGGAGTGGGATTGCTGGATCATATGGCAGCTCCATCTTTAGCACCATCCTACTCATCTTACTATTCATTCTGGTTGCTGTTTTTTCCTTTTGCATACTCTGTGTGATTCTTTATTAATACTATTTTAGGCATATATGTAGTGTAGCTGCAGCAGCACAGAGAAATACTGATAGCTAATATTTGTTAGTAATTTTTGTGTCAAGCCTGTGGTACTTTATACATTTTTGCATCTTAATTTTTCACCACAGATCTGTAAGTATTATTTTAACTTCATTTTGTGTTAAATAGTTGAGGAAATGGAGAAGTGAAGTAATTTGGCTAGAGGAAATCGGAGATTAAGTTTAGACCTTGGTTCTGAGCCTAGGCATCCTGATACAGAGCATAGACCCCCCCTGACTGCTATGATCCTTTGACTACAGGTCAGAAGGCCTGTATTCTAGATGTAGTTCCATTACTTACTAGATATGTCTCACTGGATGTGTGCTTAGTTGACATGTGTCTTTGGATGTGTCATATATACAATTATTTTTTATTTTAGTTCCGATATCCTAAAAGTGAAAAAAACTAATTCATCTCTCACAGGGTTCTTGGGAAGTTGAAATGAGATAATAGATTTGATAGATCTTTATAAGACAGTAAGTGTATATTTTCTATACATTTCATCATGCAATCATGCAACAAAGATTTTTCCCATGTTTATCACATACTAGCTGTTGTTACGGGTATTGAAAACCTGAAAATAGGATCACTAACTTACCCTGGTTTTAGTACTCAATGGTCACATCCTAGGAATCACCTACTTTAATTTCCTGACTTCGCTGTAACAAGTTACCAGAAATGTAGAGAGTTGAAACAACACACATTTATTATCTTTCAGTTTTGAGGGTTAGAAGTTCAAAATAATTCTTAATGGATCTGTACTAAAGTCAAGGTGTCTGCAGAGGAGGGTTCCTTCTTCAGGTTCTGGGGGAGGAATCTGTTTCTTGACTTTTTCAGCTTCTGGGGCTGCCTACATCCCACCCTCTTGTTTCAGGTCTCACATCTACTAATGACTCTGATCTTTTGGCCTCCTATTACAGGGACTTTTGTGATTACAATTGGACCCACCCAAACAATCCAGGATTATCTCTCCATCTCAGCATCTTTAATCACATCTACAAAGAACTTTTTCCCATGTAAGGGATTAGGACTCATACATCTCTGGGTGGCCATTATGCCACCTAAAACACCCCCTTCAGATCTGGCAACCTGGAAGATTGATAATCAGCATAGAGAGGAAAAAAGATTTGGTATGTGCTTTAAGCAGGGGCTATTAAAATTTTTTTGAGTGTGTCCTCTAGTCAGTAAAACCTTGTGCATACACCTTTAATATGTGTTACTTGTTACAAGTTATATACATGTACCAATAGTAGTGTTAGCATACAACTAACATATTAGTATATGTAAAAAAATTACTCAAATTAGATGTTTAAGAAAGATGAGAAGGAAAGTAAAGAATTATATTACTTTCTGTTTGTAGTACCATTTTG